CTGGCTTTTTTTTGGAGGTGGGGGAGGAGGAGGTTAAAGACCCCAGGGTTTGGAGGGAAGGATGGGCAGATGGAGGGGCCCCCTTGGGGGAGCTGGGGTGGAGTGAGCTGGCTTGCAGCTGCATAGGCAGCCAGTAGGGAAAGGCCTATGGCTTTGGCCCCCTGCTTCCTGTGTCAGCTTTTCTATTTTAGGCCGGTTGCTCCTCCCTTGGGGAATGCTCTGGGGGCCTGTGGGAAAGGCAGAGGCAGGCCCTGCTGGGGCCCGGTGCTCCTTTCTTCAGCCCCCTTGGGCTTCCCATTCTGTGTGGGGCTCAGGCGTGGCTGGCACGCTCCCCCAAACACAGGCCACCCCTTTGAGAAGGTTCCTGCCTCCAGCCCCAGCCAGGGCGGTCCTGGATTTTATCCCGAACAAACAGTCATCATGGTGAAACTACAGAATCCTGCAGTCCAGGCCAAGAGGCAGCAGGGGAGAGGGTGGGAACCTCTGCTCCGGAGGAAACGCCAGCTCGATAGGCAGGCAGCAAAACTGCTGTGGGCACATCATGCCCACAAGGAAAGGGCCAGTGTGGCTCCAGGACACGGGTGGGCACACGACCACGGAAGAACAGTAAAGCCTCAGCCTGTTATCTCTTGCTGTATGACCTTGGGCAAGGCATGGAGGCTCTCTGAGCCCCATTTTCATCATTTATAAAATTCAGAAGAATGCCCATGTTTGGGCCACAGGAGGCTTTTAAAATCCTCAGGTGAGTAAAAGGCATTCAGTAGGCACTCAGAGGAATTGCTGCCAGGGATTTTAAGAACACAGATACATGGAAATCATTTGGCATGATGGGAAAGGAGAGGTGAAAGATTAGTAGCCAAATCTGTATTTCTTTGAAAATGGCTCTATAAACCATTTTGATCCCCAAATCTCAAGCATTTGAAAAATGGCCTTTGAGAGAGGCCTTTGGGGCCTCTGCACACAGGGACAGCCCCTCGGCCCCGGAGGTGGGCGGGCCGGCCGGCCGCGCCAGGTGCGGCCCGCGCTGGAGGGCTGCATTCCAGGCATTCCTGCCGGGGACCTGCCGGCCGCGCCGGGACCGCGCCGTCCCTGCCGCTTCCGGGCGCGGTGGCTGAGCCGTAGCGCCACCTGCAGGCGCAGCGAGCCCACGCAGAGACCTCGGCCTGCGTCCGCCCCGAGGTCGGGCCCTGGGACGCAGCCCCCGGGGCTGCGCAGGAGGAGGTGGCGCGGGTGTGCGCGTAACCCCAGCGAGCGCGAGCGTCCTGCCACCCGCCCGAGCCGCCGGCAGCCGCGCGCCTCCACAGGCGTCCGGTTGCGCTGTAGCTGCTGTCAGTAGTGAAGGACAGGGGCGGTGAGCGACCCCGAATGCCAGCAGGGACAGTGGTGCCTCGAGGTGGGGCAGCCCACGTGACCAAGTATCCTGCGATGTCAGGGGACCGGGGCTGCACGGGGCCGGCCTTTCTGTTCTGAAACCCGGAGGGTGTCCGGCACCCGGGATTGTACTCACTTTCGGGGCTAACCTGGAGGGGCCACCTAGATAGGCCCGGAGAGGGGTCCTGATGCAGGGAGCAGGCTGCGGGGTGAAAGGGAGCTGAAGGGATGTGGAAAAGGCCTGGAAGGTCACCTGGCCAGGCTGTAGAGGCAGAGAACAGGCGCTGGGCAGATGCCACCGACCCATCCTCAGGCGGGACAAGACTGGCTCCTCCTGTCCAACCTGCTTCTCTGCACCTGGGAAACGGGCCAGCAGAGGGCGACTACCAAGGCCTGGTCCCAGTTAGGAGAAGCTGTCAGTTGAAGGCCCTTGAGACCCAGGGCCTGTCCTGATGACCATCATGAAGGTGCAGGAACAGGAGAGAGGGCCCAGGGACCAGAGGACTAGCATGAATCCCCCAAAGGCAGTCCTGGCAGAGTTATGGGGGTGGGGGATTTACACCAACCCCAGCTACCTGGGCTGGCTGGGAGCCCCAGGGTCTTTGGCAGTGTCAGCAGCTCCTGGACCTTGAACAGTGGCCCAGTGGTGGCAGGCCATCCAGCCTGGAAATCTGGTGAGCAGCTCCCAGAACCCCGGGCCCTGGGCATCCCCCCAGGTCCCTTGACTTCCAGACACTCCCTGGTCAACTGCCATCAGAATCCACCTCTTACCCACCCCCAGCTCTGGCTGGGCTGGCCATTTAAGAGCCAGCACCTGTCCTGCTGCAGGGCACCATCTGTTAGGTCAATGGAGGTGGCTGAGGAACAAAGCACAAGCAACCCATGCAAGAGAAACCCCAATCAGGCGCTGACAGAACCGCTGGCGAATCAGCGCAGTCTCCTGGCCAGTTCTGGATCTTGGGGGGTGTCCCCCCAATTCCCCCAACCCCTGTAGGACAAGGGACTCTAAAACCCCTTTTCCTATCCCCAGCCCTCCCTTCCTGCCCTAAGCCCAATAGAAATTCCAGTCCCGTCCAGCCCCGGAGCACTTTTCCTCAGACCCTCCTCTTACCCTGTTGGTCTGAGGGTCCCGCCCAAGAGCAAAATCTCAATTAAGCCTTTCAGCAGCCTTTTTAAATCTGCCCCCTAACTGGGCGTGGTGGTGCATGCCTGTAATTCCAGCGACTTGGGAGGCTGAGGCAGGAGGATTGCAAGTTCAAAACCAACCTCAGCAAAAGCAAGGCGCTAAGCAACCCAGTGAGACCCCATCTCTAAATAAAATACAAAATAGAGCTGGGATGTGGCTCAGTGGTCAAGTGCCCCTGAGTTCAATCCCTGGTAGAAAAAAAAAATTTTGCCTCCTTTTGGTCAACCTTACACCTTCCCCCCTGGGGTTGGCTCTCTCCACTGCCGGCACATGATGTCTTGAGTTGGGGAGTCCACTGCTACCCAGGAGATGCTCCTGGGTAAAATGTGGTTTTCCAAAAGCTTTAAGTCCTAAAGAAGGTAATGCTTTAAATTTCAGCTTTCCTACTTCAGAGACACCCTCCTCCTGTTCATGGGGTCCTCTCTTCTTCAACCTTAGCACTTATCATTCATTTATATACCCACTCACCTTCCTTCCACAGACTACCTACCTGCCCATCCATCCATTTATGCATCCGCCACCATCCATTGTCCATTGTTAGGGTCTGAATCTGAAATGTGCCCCCAAAATTCATGCATTTAGGGTTTGGTTGCCAAAGCAGCAATATTCAAAGATGGCACTTTGGGGGCAGTGATGGATCATGAGGGTTCTGACATCATTGGTGGGTTAACCCATTGATAACTGAACGGACAGCTGAAAGGTGGTCAGAACTGCAGATGTGGGGCCTGGGAGGGTGTATCTTGTCCTCTGTCTCTGCTTCCTGGCTGCTGTGAACAGGAAAGCCTTCCGCTGCCCTTCCACCAGGATGTTCTGCCCAGTCTCAGGCCCAAAGCCATGGAACCAGCCCACCATGGGCTGAAACCCATGAGCCAAAATAAATCTTTCATCCTTTAAGTTGTTTTTCTCAGGTATTTGTCACAATAGAAAAAGTTGAGTACACACCCATCCACCATTCAACCATCCACGCATTCATCCACCCATCCACCAACACGTATCTCATCCCATGACCCACAGATGTCCTCAGAGAAGAGTTGTCCCCGGAGACAGGCCTGGGAGTTCCTGGAGAGAAGGGAGAACTCAACGTAGGACCAGTAGGGTTCTTGGCGCACTTGAGGGAAAAGGATTTCAGCATGCGCTAGTCAAGGGCACGGACAGGCTTATTTAGGAAAGTGGAGACACATTCCAGGAGAATGTGGGTGATCTCGAGAGTTTTGAGGTAAGCAGGGAAAATACAGTCAATGGAGAATGTGGACCATATCCAGAGGAAGAGTCGCCCATTGGTGTGGGGGTGTTAGTATTTATAGAGGGGTGGTTGCTTGGGGCTGGACTACAGGGGGAGCCAGGGCAGAGCTACACACTCTCATGCCTGTTTTCCTGGGCCTGCCCATTGCCCTCAAGTTTCTTCATTGCAGACCAGGGCATGGGCCAAGGGGATGGGTAGGTGGCACAGGAGTTGAAACCATCAAGGGTGCTTTCTGCATTTCAATGGTTCATGCGTGTTTTCCTTGAGACTCTGTATCTCTCCCTTTTATGTGTCCCTAGATTCCTATCTCAAATCTATCTAGCCCCCCCATCCACCCACCAACCCATAAGAACCCCTAAGGGCCACTAAGATTTTGTATTTTGGTACTGGAGATGGAACCCAGGGGCACTTAACCACTGAGCCATGTCCCCAGTCTTTTTATTCTTTATTTTGACACAGGGTCTTGCTAAGTTGCTTAGGGCCTTGCTGAATTGCTGAGGCTGGCCTTGAACTTGTGATCCTCCTGCCTCAGCCTCGGGAGTTGTTGGAAAGTATTTTGGATTTGACTGGGTGGGACCTGTAGTGCACAGTGCGGAGGGCTGGAGTGGAGGGGGAGTGGGAGTCTGAGCATGTCCCTATGGACTGGAGGACAATGGGAAGCCCATTCGGAGTCTTCAACTGGGGAGTGACAAATCAGAGCTGGGTTTTTAGAAGTTCCTCTGGAGTGGTTTGGAAAAGACCAGGCCTGAGGTGGGGCTAGGGGCCGCATATGGAAGGATTTGAAAGCCTTCTGAGAGGGGTGGAGGGTTGCCCAGTCCCTGTCTGGTCCAGGCAGGTGGGTGGAGAGAGACAGAGAAGCCATTCTTCATGGGATGTGGCTTCCTCCTCTGCCATAGTCACTGCCTTGTGCTCCAGGGCACCTGGCCCAAGGGAGCAGGCCTCCTGGGCACACAGACCCACAGGGAGCTGTCTCTGTTTCCTTTATGGGAGGGGATTTCAGACTAACTGCTTCTCTGGGCTCCTGTAGCTATGGCAACCGCCCACCCTCTGGCTTGCTATCTTGGTAGAGGTTCCTGTAACAGAGGTCCACTTGCTGCTCTGCTGCTGCAACTTACTCTTAATGCACATGTTTCTTTGTTGCAGTGGGCAAAAGGTGTGACCTATGCAGTCCAGGGGGAGAAATAAAGAATGTCCACGCGCTTCTGCCCTAGTCAATGCTTTATTCACTCAACTCGCTCAATACAATTTCACTCTGTAGGTTCTTAATCAAGAAAACGGCAATCCTTAATGCTGGGCACTGCAATAGACATAATCAATTCACAGCAAACAATCCTAGATTAATTAATTCACAGCAAACAATCCTAGATTAATTAATTCTAAGCCTGCAAACACACTTAATCATGACAGGCTAATGACAGACATTCCCTCTGCAAATTAAGCTCAAGTGCCAGGTCTAAAGTCTCCAGCCTTAGGCTCTAAGTCCACAGATGCCCACTCACTCAGACGGAGGTGATCAGGTCAGGAACCAAGGCAGGCTTCTCCTGGGACGCAGCAGGCGGCTGGCTGAGGAGGGGGCTGTAGGGAGAAGTTACGGCTCTCACCAGGGTCAAGATATGGCTGTAGAGTTGGAGAGCAGTGAGGAAGACGCAGGGGATCAGCAAAGAATGACAGGTGATGGGATGTCAGTCCAGGTCCTCATCAGGCTCTCCAGCTTGTAGGCATCAGTTTCGTCTGGCTGAATATCTGTTCATTTGCTCTATTATTTATACTTAATTTTGGGGCTTTTGACCCCTCTTCAATCCTTATCAGCTACCACGGGATTTCTCAGGGACATCATTTACCCTGGGGTTAAAACATCTGGCCTGGTGGTCCCCACCCTGATCTTTTCACCTGTACCTTTTCTCAGGTCTTTCCCTCCTATCTGAGGAGGCCAGCTTTCCAGAGGCTTCACTCTGAGTTTATCAGGGTGGGGAGAAGTGACTTGTTTGTGCCGGGGAGCCATACTAGAGGGCTCTGTTAGGCAAGTGTGGTGAGACTGCAGGTTTCAAACTGGAGTTTTTAAAATGGAATTGCTTAGGCTCAGGCCCAAGACCATCCTCACATTCTTTCTCTTTCTCTCCCTGCTACTCCCTAATTGCTCCTTCTCCCTAATCTCAGGGGGAAGCAGGATTAGCAATCCATCCTAGGCAGAGTTACCTGTCCTTGAGCACACACATACACACCACAGGAACAAAGTAATTCAGACTTTGGGGATGGTTCCAGAAGATCTCAGAAATGACTATCTCCCAAGTTAACAAGTGAATTACAGCTCCAACAGAGAACACAAGCTTTTGAATCATCTCCTTAAAAGCCTCCTGATCCCCTTGATGGGCAGAATCACAGCTTCTGGGACAGGAGTTCTCTGTGCTTCTCCTTTGCTAGAAAGCAATAAAACTTCTTTTCCTCAAAACCATGTCTTTGTTATTGGATTGGCATGGGGACAAGGATGGAGCTTTAACAGTTCCTGTATCATTTGGCACGCTTTTTAAAAAAAAATCTTGTTTTTTAGTTGTAATTGGACACAATACCTTTATTTATTTATTTTTGTGTGGTGCTGAGGATAGAACCCAGTGCCTTGCACATGCTAGGCAAGTGCTCTACCACTTGAGCCACAACCCCAGCCCTCACTTTTTTTTTTTGTACCAGAGGCAGAACCCATGGGCACTTAACCACTGAGCCAGCCCTTTTTAGGTTTTATTTTGAGACAGAGTTTTGCTAAATTGCTGAGGCTGGCTTTGAACTTGGGATTCCCAGCCTCAGCCTCCTCAGCCTCAGCTGCTGGAATTACAGGCGTGCCTGGTGCTCTTTTAACTGGAAGACAGAAGGCTGTAGAGTACCCTACCTAGGCCTGTGTTGAGCCTTGGGGCTGTGGGGTCATGCCACCCTAAGATTTGAAGACCCATGGGGCTGCAGAAGACCAGCTTAGGCTCTCCTCCCGCCCGCGTGGCCTCCTCTCTGGGTGTCCCCTTCCTCATTTGTAAAGGGAGGCAGAGAAGGACCCCAGGAGAGAAGGCTGTGCCACCACTCACCCACAGCAGAGCAGCCTGCAGGCTCACAGAAGGGACCGGGAATTCACGTACAATCCCTCTGGGTGCCAGGAGCAGGAATTCTGGTCACCTTCCCCCTTTGACCGCAGTCATCTGGCGCCATCTAAGGGGTAGTTACAAGGTGCCAGAGGCTTTAAAAGCTAGTCTAGGTGATGGAGGGCCGGGTTCGGCAACTGAACGTGTCCACCCCGCCCCTCCTATTCTCAAGTAGCCCCCGCTCCTTCTCCACAGGTGCCACTCTCCCAGCGTGCCCGGACACGGGTGCACAGCTCTCTGAACGAGCCTTCTCTCCCGAATAAAGTCCGAGTTTGAGCGGGCGGACAGGGAGGCCACCTGGCCTCGGGCTGGGGCGGCCCAGGAGCGCTGGCCTGCAGGGGTCAGGCGTGGGCCCTCGAGGAACCAGGCGCGGACGCCTGTCCTGGGGCGCCGGCCCGGGCCGTACCGGCGCAAGGGACCCAGCAACACGCTCCAGCGTACCCTAGAAGGAACAGGCGAATGGCCCACATCCGCCAAGCTTAAGCTAACGCTTCCGGTAGAAAACGCGGGTCGTATGCGGCTCCTTTAAGGCGGTGCGCCCTCCAAGGCTTTATGGCCCTCGCTGCCGTCCGTCGCCCCACCCCGCCGTCCCGCCCCCCGCGCACGCGCGCCGCCGCCCGCCGCCCGCGCCCCACCGCGTCTAGCTCGTCCGCGCTCGCGCCAGGCGGCGGCTGCCGCGACGCCCGCCCGCCCGTCCCGCCGCGGCCGGCAGGTAAGAGGCGGCGCGAGCCAGAGATGGCGGGGCGGGCGGGCTCCCGCAGGACCGCCGCACGTGTCCGGGGCCTCGGTCCGCCGCCGCCGTGTGATTCCTGCCGCCGACCCCGGGAGCCCGCCCGCCCTCAGTGTCCCGCGTGCGCCGCCCGCGTCGCCCGGAGGGACCCCGGCCGCGGGCTGAGGCGGAGCGCACCCCGCTCGCGGCTTCTGCGGTCCCGGCGGCAGAGGCGCGCAGCCCCGCCACCTTCGCGCAGGTTTGAGCGCGGCCGCCGGTGCCCTCCCAGCCGCGCGCCGGGTCCGAGCCGAGCCCGAAGCCTGCGAGGGGGGAGCCCCGGGAGCGGCCGACTGCCCCGCCAGGGCGCGGGGCCTGATGCGCGCCGACGGGGGCCGTGGCTGCTGGCGGGCGACGGAGGCCACCCAGGTCACCTTTCTTGCGCTCTCTCCCCAAGGCCCAGCCCCCGACCCTTGGCCTGCTGCCTCAGCAGTTCCTAGAACCCGGGCGTTCAGGGAAGGTGGCCCTGGACCCCACCCGGTGCAGCGGGAGCTGGTTTTCTTACATGTTAAGTGTTTTGCGCGCCTGAAGGTTTCTTGTAAGACCATCCTGTGTTGTTCCTCACCAGGGGCCGCCTGCCTACCTCCAGGTGAACGCTGCTTTAGGGGAGAAGGAACCGCTTCCGCAGCCCCCAGTGGTCCAGACCCAGGGCCACAGCCCCTTGTGTTGTGCTGGTGTGGTTCACCGGGGTTGGGGCAGGGCTCAGGTCTTCTCCGCTCTCAGCTTTGTTTGGGTCTCCTTGGTTCCTGTCTCTCTGATGCCTGTTCAACCCACAAAGGAGATGGTGGCCTTGGGGTTATTTCAGAGTGTCTAGGTTGTATCGAGGATAAGTAGCAAGCAGCTGGCATTTACCAGTGCTTTGTCCCCAGAGAGGTCTGCAGAACCCCGACGCCTACCCTGCCCCTGGGCTTTAGGCACAGCACTATCCATTTCTGGGTGGACTCTGTTGCAGGTGACAGCGTGGCTACACCAGTGACCTGTGCGGTGGAGTTGTAATTTCTCTCCCTTTGAAGACCGGACATGCTCCTTTTGATGGCCTGTTTCGCCTTAGTGTTACATGGGCCTGTGCAAGTCTGAAGCTCCAAGCTAGAATTTACCGTGTGCAGACTCATTTTCGAATGGTAGAGCTGAGTATCAGGACAACCAGCGGCATTTGCAAGCATGACTGTGGCTTCTCTTTTAACAGTGTGTCCCTGGTTGTATAGCACCTTCATGAGGTGTATTCAGGTAGCATGGTCTGTCATGTTAGAGGAAACAGTCACTGGTTTTGGACTGACATTGTTAAGCCGAAGCTGGATTGAGCTGCAGTTTTTTTCCCTCAGCAGTGTGAGTCTTAACGCAGGATGCCCAAGCTGCACCCTAGGCTGCTTCTCCGAGGGCAGGACGTGGAAACTCTTGGGGCAGAGCCCACTCTGGTATATTCTTGCGGTTTTTCAGTAGTACTGCATGGGCTTGGAGTCCTGTGAATGTTGGTGTTCGGAAAGCAGCCTTGCATCTGCAGTCTGTGCAGGGAGCAGCGAGGCCCACCCATAGGTGCTGACCACTGGCTGCGTACTCCTGTGTGTTCACACAGAGCTGTTAACATGATTGCATCCCTTAGGCTTCATTTTATGGTTTGGATGTGCTCCCAGGCTTGTGCACCCTGAAGCTCAGTGTCCTGACATTTGACAGGTTGGTTTCTGTCACAAAACCTTTCTTTTCTTTTTTTCTTTTTGATGTGTCAAAGGCTCCTGGAATCCCTTGTGTTTTGTTTGCATGCTTTGTGCTGCATTTCTGCAGATGCCTGGATAGCGTAATAGGAAGCCCTGCTGTGTGTCTTAGGATCACAAAAGGGGTGAGAGCAGGAATATCTTGGTTCCAACTGAGAAGTGGTGGCAGGAGTTAGGGTAATAGTTACATTCTCCAGTTTGGAACAGCTTCTTTCGCGGCAGGTCTCAGTATGGTCAGGTTTTTCGCTTTCTTATCCTTTCTCCTGGAAATTAATTGGGAGGGGTATAGTATGTAGATAGAACCCAGGGACTTGTGCATGCTAGTGAGCTACACACCCAGTTCTGGAAATTAATTTTCTAAAAAATGATTTGTTTTTAGGCCTCCATTAAAGGGTTTGCTTAGCAGATAGGCTATTCCCTTGTGACTCTCCACCAGAGGTTTCCTGCCACGTGGGCTTCAGAGCAATGGCCACGGAGGAGAAGAAGCCCGAGACAGAGGCTGCAAGAGCCCAGCCCACCCCCTCCTCATCCGCTACACAGAGCAAGGTGTGCTCCTGGGTCTCCTTGGGGCCTCTGGGAGGTTATTGCAAGCCAATTGTCCAGCCTCCTCTACTCAGATAAGCTTCTTTGTGAGAAGCCACTTTTATTCATCGGCCACTTATTGTAATGACTGCCTACTGTGTGCCGTGTCAAGGATTCCCACATCTGTCACCTAGGGGGCAATGGTGGGGGGTTGGTTCTGATTGTAAATCTGTGGTACCCAGAAAACATTTCTGAGTAATCATCCCATCCAGTCCCATGTTCCGTCTGTTCTGCAGACCCCCTCCCCAGGCACAGGAAGCAGGGCCTTCAGACGCCCTCTGGGAGGCCTGGGCATGCTGGAGCTGTGTGGACTTGGTGGCCATGCCTAGTGTGGGGGACAGGGCAGGGCCCCAAGGGACCTCAGACAAGTATCTGGAATGGTGGAGTTACTATGCTGAGGGGGGACTACAGCAGAATCAGGGCTTTGACGGGGATGTAATGGGCTGAGACTTAGACCTGTTCAACGTGAAGGATGATGTTGGGTGGTTGGTGGGCGCTTGGTATCTCAATGTGGGAGTCCAGGCAGTATGGTTCCTTAGGCTCACTTTAGCTGCACTCTCTCCAACAGCCCACACCTGTTAAACCAAACTATGCTCTGAAATTCACCCTGGCCGGCCACACAAAAGCTGTGTCCTCCGTGAAGTTCAGCCCCAATGGAGAGTGGCTGGCAAGCTCATGTGCGTATCATGGAGCACCTCAGATAATGGGATGGGTGGTCTGAATCACAGATAAGAGTGGGGTGGGTGTGCTTCCCAGGGGCTGGTGGTAAATGGCGTGTCCCTTCTCTGAAACTGAAGAATCACTGCTTGTTGAAATTGTGCCAGTTACCTTCCTGCAGTGAAGGGGCAGAGTGGTGGTGGGGGGCTTGCCCCTTCTACTTGTGACTGTGCCTTCGGGTCCCTGAGTGATCTGAGCTGATTGGCAGGGGCTTAGGGTGTGGGACAGCTCAGGCTCTGGCCTTTGGGTAATGGGACAACTATATTTCTACCCTGAGCATCAGCTCCTTTTCATTTCTTTCAGCTGCTGATAAACTTATTAAAATTTGGGGAGCCTATGACGGGAAGTTTGAGAAGACCATCTCTGGTCACAAGCTGGTAGGTGTGGGGAGCAGGTGGCTCTGGTGCTCTTGGGAGGGAGGTGCAGCTTAGTGCCCTCAGTGTGTGATTGCCTGCTGCTGCTCTCCAGCCATCCAGCTCCACAGGTGTGCACCTGCCTGTCTCTGAGGCCAGCAGAGCCACTTTCTCTGGGCTCCCTGCCATCTCCTCTGGGCCACGAGTGTGTCTTCCTGTGGCTAACACTGGCCAGAGGATTTCCCCAGGGGAATGATGAGTGTGGGGACTTTGGCCTTTTGCTGGCCAGTGGTGTTTTGTCCTAGAGGATGGTTACTGTGTTTTTCTCCTCAAGGGAATATCGGACGTAGCCTGGTCATCAGATTCCAATCTCCTCGTTTCTGCCTCTGATGATAAAACCTTGAAGATCTGGGATGTGAGCTCGGTGAGTGTCATTGGTCCTCTGTGGGCGGAGGTGGCTGAGGAGGGGTAGGGGCCAGGACAGGTGGAACGGGATGGCGGTTGCTCGGTTGCTCGCAGTCAGCGCTGGTGTCTGGGGAAACTGCCCCTGGGAGCCACGTGGTCTCATCCTGCTGTGTTGTAGGGCAAGTGTCTGAAAACGCTGAAGGGGCACAGTAACTACGTCTTCTGCTGCAACTTCAACCCACAGTCCAATCTCATCGTCTCAGGGTCTGTAAGTGCGCTGCTCTCTCCTCTGGGAGGCGCTGTGGGTGTGCTGTGTCCTGTGCCCATGTCCAGCATGGGACAGGCAGGTCTGGGTTCTGGGGCCTCTGTCATCACCCCTCCTTCCCATAGTCATTTCAGTCGCCTCTCTTGTCTTCAGTTTGATGAAAGTGTGAGGATATGGGACGTGAAGACGGGGAAGTGCCTCAAGACTCTGCCGGCTCATTCAGATCCAGTCTCAGCTGTAAGTCCCCTGATGGGTGCATGTGGCTTCATCTGGCATACTTCTGCTGGTGTGCAGCCTCTGGGGCTGAGAGACCTTTTAGGCCTGTGTGCTGTGGAGGAGAGGGAGTGGGTGCCTGTGGGGAGTACCCCAAGACCCCTTGAAGGCTGGGAGGCCAGTGGCCATGGCTTTCAGGGGGGTTTCCCCCAGAACTGACTCCCACAGGCTATGCCTGGAAGGGTGTAGGAGAAGAGGGAGCTCTGTGTCGGGCTGGGTGACCACAGTTAGGTGAGTTCTGTGTGCGGGGAGCTGATGGGTGGCGGGGCCTGCCCAGTCATGGAGAGAACCGTGGGGACCCCTGATGGCAAGGGCCATGGGGTCTGTGTCCTGCCATTGCACACGCACCATCCCAGTGTGCAGAACAAACGGACAGGAGTCATACTCTATAGAATGTAACAAACTGTTATTTAAGAGAGTGGCCCAAGCCGGTGGCACACGCTTGTAATCCCAGTGGCTCAGGAGGCTGAGGCAGGAGGATTGTAAGTTCAAGGCCAGCCTCAGCAAAAAAGCAAGGTGCTAAGCAACTCAGTGAGACCCTGTCTCTAAATAGAATACAAAATAGGACTGGTTTGTGTCTCAGTGGTTGAGTACCCCTGAGTTCAATCCCTGGTACCCTCACACCCAACAAAGAAAAAACACATTAAAAAAAAAGAGTGGCCCAAGGCTGGGTGAAGCTCTGGCTGAGTGCTTCCTGGGCATTCATGAGACCCTAGGTTCCATCCCAGCACCCCACAGACAAGGTGCTCGAAGGTCTCTGTGTTAACAAGAGCCCCAGGTGGTTTTGTAGCCACACTGTGGATGGAAGGATTGCAGAAGGATCAGGCATGTGGTTTGTTTTAGTCAGCACGAGTGGCTCACTTTTCTTTTTCTTGGTGCTGAGAACTGAACCCAGGGCCTCACCAGTGCTAAACTAGCCACAGCCCCAATCATTTTTTTAGTTTTCGTATTCTGGGACAGGGACTCACTGAATTACATAGGTTGGCCTCTCAAACTTGTGATCCTCCTACTGCAGCCTCCTGAGTAGCAGAGATTACAGGTTTGCATCTCTGTGCCTGATGGAGCTGTTCACTCTTTGAAGTCCTGGTGGTGTAGGATTTTAAGCATTTTTGGCCTTGGAAGGCTTTTGCCCAGCTAAGACCACATAGCAGACAGACAGGCGACTTGGCCCTTGCTGGCCCAGAGCCGCTGCTAGCGCATAGGGCACTCTGCTGTGAGAGGCATGCAGGCAGCAGTGTGCACAGGACTGGCTCAGCCTTGCTGCCAGCCCCTGCCCCCCAGCATCTGAGACCCCAGGTAGAACTGGTTTTCACATGGGCTTGTGAGTGAGCCAGGAAACAGTGTCCCCAAGGAAGCAGGGGCTTGGGAGCCTCCCAGCGGTGAGGGCTGTGGGGCTGTCCTCCATGG